CTCTGCTGTCAGTGTGCAGCCTGCTTTGGATCCTCCGTCCCCCCCCCTCGCCTCCCCCCCCCCCCCCCCCCCCCCCCACTCTCTCTTTCTCTCTCAAAAAAAAAAAGAATGTATTTTCTGATATGTATCTTGTTGGATATAATATGATGTTTAGTTGGCAAAATGGAGCTAATTCACATATCATTTCCAAGAGTCTCTGGATTAATAATAACAGTATAACAATAATAATACTTATATAGCACTTTCATTACTTTTATGTGATCAGTACTATTCTCAAAGCTTTGCGTATATTCACTCATTTAATTAATAATGAAATTAGTATAAAGATAATAAAAGAAAAGGTTAGTATGTTTGAAACTGAAAGTAGTTATTATCGTTTCCATGATGTTAAATATTTATGGGCCACTTTGTTTTAGTATGTGCTTTACATTCACGGGGGACTTAACTTTCCCACATAGCAGTTCTTTTCTCACAGAAGTGGTTATCATTCTAAGCAAAGGTGAAAAATGCAGAATCTTAAGCCCAAAAGATTCTGACATGTGTTGTAAAATTATATCCTGCATTCCTGATAACCCAGAGAGGTTCAATAAAAGGTTATAACCAGTTTGAGACCGAGCGATAAAATGAATGGGAATGAGGGGGCAGCAGAAAATGAGGGGATGACACAAAATAAGCTGACCTTTTCTGGTCACAACTGTTAGTTGCAGGCTGACATTTATGGTCACCTAAATCTTCCGAGATTGTTCCTGTTGATATTACAGTACAAGTAATAACTGCATCTCAAATTTAAATTTGGCTTATGACAGGGGAATATAGATTGGTTCAGCATGGGACCAGCATCTAATGGTCCAGGGTAGCCGACTAGGGGAGGGTGATAGGCTATTTTCATTACTGCTGGATTATTAGCTGCCAAATTCTTTGTTGTATCCCAAAGAAACACACATTATCTCTTCACCCATGTCATTTATTTTTCTTCAGGCTGGATGTATATGTGGGATTGTGGGAGACTGGGAGGGAGCAGGAGATAAGCTGGCCTTTCCTGGGAACCATTCTGAGTTGGCTTTCCTGAGAGAATAGGGCTGAGCACCCAGACTAGGGAAGGCAGAAGGAGAAGGCATACCTCTTACTTGTCTGTTTTCTGCCCTGTCTCTTGTCATGGCTTTATTAATCTGCTGATGTAGTAGGAGCAAGGTAGCTGGCTCTGTTTGAAAAGGAGCAAATGTCTTGTGTGCCAGATATGTGCCAAACAGCATGCTAAACCCCAAATATGTGAAGACGAATATGGCGTGATCCTTGTTCTTAAGCAGCTTGTGGTCTACTAAAGCATACAGATGTGCCCGAGGGATAATCTCGATACGTTGTGGTGAATGCTACAATACAGGGATCTATGCAGATGTTATTATTTTCTGAATTTGATTGGTATGGAGAATAATATGACCATTAGGCAGAAAATGTAATTAGTGAATACTGTAGTTTTTGTACCCTTTAACGTTTTATTAAAGTATAATGTGGTTTTGTTATTTTAATATGGTTTTTTCTGCCTTTTTCCTTTTGATTCATAGGTCTTACTCATACTTCATTGAAGTGTCAATGGATGAACTTGATTGGATCAGAGTGATTGATCATTCGCAGTATCTGTGTCGTTCTTGGCAGAAATTATATTTTCCAGCCCGTGTCTGCAGGTTAGTTCTCGTGGCTAATTAATGATTTTGATGTTTATTTAAGGAGATTTGGACTTTGAGAAATGGGCTACATTTTTTTCTGTCTCATGGAAGAAGACTTTTTCAGGATATCAGCTACTAAATGCATCCCAAGTAAAAAACTTAGAGAAAATATGGAAAATGAAGCATCTTAATTCTAGAGTATACTGCGGAACTGTTTATCCACAGTATTTTGTGCCAAACTTCAGCAGAAGACCCATAAGAACAAGAAGGGAGAGCGAACACTGAGAAGTAGAGATGCTTTTTAAGCTCCATGCTATATACTGAAAGCAGAGTGATTGGTAGGGGTTGTGTTCTTCCTGCAAAAGCCAGGGGAGATATTTCTGGAGGCTTCCTTGGTAGTCCTCAGGGCCAGGAGGAGATTTTTATGTGTTAGTGTGCATGTTCTGAGTAGCTGTATTCTGTCTCTAGCTTGGTGCTTATCAGTGGAGTTTGACAGAACCAAGTGTTTCTAGTGGTTTGGGCTGGGAGCAGGGGAGGCTGAGCTGGTGGGGCTCCAGGCTCACACCCTCCCTTCAACTAGAGCACCTTCGTTCTTATTGTTGTTACATATTGTAATACCATAGAAGGTTGCTTTTAAAAAATGTTGATGAGCTACTGTTCTAATATTTCATATTCTTCCTTTAGGTTAAGGCCATCTTCTAAACCTGAATTCTGTAAAACCTATACAACTAATGAATTTGGGTGTTGGAAAAGGTGGTGCCCAAAGTTCTGCTGTTTTTTTTCTTTTCTGTTGTAATTTTCCCTTTGGAAATTGCCCTCAGGTATTCCTTATCTTAGAGTCAAAAGATCAAAAGCAGAAAATGATTGGTTCATTTAGTCAGGTGTGGCAAGAAGAGAAGGAAAGGTATTTGGGGGTGTAAACCAGGAGCAATGTGGTTCTGGCCTCTTACCCACTCCCATCCCCACCCTCATCCATGACCCCAGCTGACTGATTTGGAGCAGATGGGGGTGCCCAATAGCACTTACTCTCCAGGTCAGAAGATACCCTTATACTTAATAAACTTAGGACCTAACAGCATCAGGCTGAATTCTTAACCTCCACCGAAGGAACTCCACAAAAGCTCTCCGCCTTCTGGTACAGTAAAGAATGTTGCCTTTTTTTTTTTTTTTTTTTTTTTTTTTATGGGTATGACCGGACACAATATTGTTACCCAGGGATCCTCTTGTGTAAAAATGAAGGAAATCAATTTCATTTCCCCAAAGAGAGACTAAAGTGTTGCAGGTCTGGCAGTTGCTCTTTTATCAGGAGTTTTGAATGGATTAAAAAAAGAAGGACAAGAAATTGAGTGAAGATTTTGTGTTTCAGAGCTGCCTAGGGATACTTTGAGAGTGACAGAGGGGCCCCAACTTGGAGGAGAAGATTGAGTCTGCATTGACTCAGGTTATTATGGTTGTATTGGATTAAAAAGTAAGCAACATAGCAACCAAAGCATCTGATGTGGACTGAAGGACTGTATGGGTTGCATTTAATTTGAAACAAGAGGAACTGGACTCCCAGAACAAATCATCATGAATATAATAGTAGCCATGACAGAGGCTGTATGCTTTACCCACTCGGAAATTCCCACTGTGTGGAGGGAGATTTATGCCTTCATTCGCCATCTCTGGCTTTTAGAAAATATACTTCACCTTATTTACTAATGGGTATTACTTATACTCCCCTTTCCTTATTTAGTCTCTTCTGTGTGGCCTTGCTTTTTATTGATGTAGCTTTTATGTGTTGTAGAGCTTGGCTGTATTCGTGATGCTGGTTTTTGTCTTGGTATAGCCAGTTCCCAGCCCTGGTCAAGAAAAACTGAGCAAAGATGGTGTTAGAGATGGTGATAACAAGACAAGGAAAGAATCTTGATATCCATAGTAGTTACGAAATAAATTTAAAAAGATTTATAACCACTTTTACATATTAATTACTACATTCCTTTATAAACTGCCTTTTGTAATAGACTGGAATTTTGGTAGCCTTTAAAAACGAACCTAAGACGAAGTCTCAGTTGATTATCCAAGGATGTCTTATACTTGGTGTTTTCTTATCTTCACACTCATTTATTGACTGTCTAAACAATGTTCTAAATACACATCTTCCAGGAACATTACTGGGTACATATAAATTACTTGGCGTTATTTAGTTAATTGGCACATTTGTACGTCACCCTTGTTTTTAGGTGTCCTTTGAGTATTTGTCTTGCCTCCGATACTAAAATTACAAAGTCTTGGAAGCAAGGAGTATGGATTCTAATCTTTCAGTATTCTTGCATGGTACTCAGACTGTGACCTCGTATGCAGTAGGTACTCTGTAAATGTTAGCACAGGTTTCGTGAGGTCAAGGCCCTGACTGCGTAATGAAGAGAATTGATTCAGCATTAATATGTATATACATTCATTGGCACGTTTTATCCACGTATTTGTTAAAATATATATTAGTGCTTGAAAGGTCTCGGAGTGGTACATGGTTCTGTACTGTTTGCAGACGTAACTTCCTGTTTTTCATCAGGAAACTGAATTTTGAGGTTAATCCTGAAGGATATGGGTACCAGGTGTTGATGAAAGATTACATCAACTATATGCCTGGAAGAGGAGACTGTGAGTTGGGGAGTGTGAGACTAACTGAATCTCTCTGAGTCTTGGCTGGATTGCACGGAAATCAGTGCTGTGTCATAGAAACTATGGGCTGTGGAGCTAGATAGAGCTCTTCTCACATTCTGGTTTCACTGAATACTGGCATGGTGATCTTCGTTAAGCCGTGCTTCTCCAAGCCCTAGTTTTCTACACCAGTAAAAAAACAGGAATATCACAACACCATTTATGAGGTCTGCTGTGGGGAGTTAGATGACACGGCATATGTACAAACATTGAGTACAGTGCTTGGCCCAAAGGAGAGGCTCAGTCAGTAGTGGTTTTTATTTTTATTATTTTTATTATTTTTAAATTGCTTTTATCTATCTATCTATCTATCTATCTATCTATCTATCTATCTATCTAATTTTTGAGGCTCTCAACTGGTGTTTGACCTTCAGAGAGAGATTCGTTCTTGCCATCCTCTTTGGCCATGGGGGCTCTCACTATGAGGAAACTGTTCCTGACCTCAGGAGCCTAGTCTTCTTAACACTTTTCCATATTGCCAGTCTATACATAGCAGTCCAAAACATGCCTTAAATGGTTTTCTTTATCTCATAACCTGCGTATTGGTGTGTTTCTAACGGATTTAATGTATTTTCATTTTGGTAAAACATGTTTTATTGTAACAGAATATATATGGCATAAAATTTGCCATTTATATATATCATGTGGAATGTAGTTCAGTTAGCAGCACTTCACTTCATCAAGGTAGTAGAGTTTATCTAGTGGCAATAAGGATAATGTCAGGCTTCAAAGTCAGAGTGATTATTCCAACCATAATAGTGAGTGGAGGGAATGATCTGCTCTGTCTTCTGGGCCCTTTTTTAGGAATGTGCTGTAGATTAAGTGGGGACTGTTCTATAGAGCCAAAGTCTAGACTAATAACTCCCCCTGCTCAGCCCCCACCTAGGGATGAAGAAAATTGACTTGTCCACGTTAGTATAATCTTTCAGATGCACTCAGAACCACGTTATGTCTTACCAGCTTCCTCTTTCTCAGGAAAAGGCAATTTCTGCTCTACCCATAAATTCTCCAACCTTTACATTGCCTTGGCTATCTAGTAAGCTCTCTTCAAGCCCTTCCACATCTTTCCTAGATGCTGGAGCCAAGGACTGAACAAAAAACACTAATAAGGAGTGGCAAATATGGAGTGCTTTAAAAAACTTTCTGGCTGTTTCTCAACATGGTGCTAATAATTTGGCAGCCATACAACAGTGCTAAAATAGGAGAGGACTTGAGAATGTGGGTGTGAATGGGTAGAGGTGGATTTTAGAGCCTGTAGGCAGCTAGTAGCTGGAATTACCAAGGTGATCCTGGGGCCATACCTGGGAGTTGAGGGAAGGAATATCAGGCCTGCAAGCACCGTCCCCCAGGTATGCCTGTGAAGAGAGAGAAGAAAAGACTAGAAGGCAGGTGTGTTTTCTGTACGGGCTGGTCAGAGACACGGGAGGAGTCAGGAGGAGCAGTGACTGAAGATGAGGCCAGAAAGAGTATTGAGAAGGGTGTGGCTTGACAGGAATGTGGCACCAGAGGGATGACCTCAGTTAACACAAAACAGAGCTTCTGTCTTCTTCTTCTTCTTTTTTTTTAGAGTTTATTTATTTATTTTGAGAGAGAGAGAGCATGCACACATGCCTGTGAGCAAGGGAAAGTCAGAGAGAGGAGGAGAGAGAATTCCAAGCAGGCTCCATGCTCAGTGCAGAGCTCAGCTCGGGGCTCAATCCCGTGACCATGAGATCATGACCTGAGATGAAATCAGGAGTCAGGTGCTCAGCTGAATGAGCCACCCAGGCATCCCCCCTTTTTTTTTTGAAATTTTATTTTATTTTTTATTTTTTTAATTTAATTTTTTATTTTTTAAAATTTACATCCAAATGAGGCGCCTGGGTGGCTCAGTCGGTTAAGCATCCGACTTCGGCTCAGGTCATGATCTCACGGTCCATGGGTTCAAGCCCCTTGTCGGGCTCTGTGCTGACAGCTCAGAGCCTGGAGCCTGCTTCAGATTCTGTGTCTCCCTCTTTCTCTGACCCTCCCCCATTCATGCTCTGTCTCAAAAATAAATAAATGTTTAAAAAAAAATTTTTTTTAATTTACATCCAAATTAGTTAGCATATAGTGCAACAATGATTTCAGGAGTAGATTCCTTAGTGCCCCTTACCCATTTAGCCCATCCCCTCTCCCACAACCCCTCCAGTAACTCTCAGTTTGTTCTCCATATTTATGAGTCTCTTAGGTTTTGTCCCCCTCCCTGTTTTTATATTATTTTTGTTTCCCTTCCCTTATGTTCATCTATTTTGTCTCATAAAGTCCTCATATGAGTGAAGTCATATGATTTTTGTCTT